TGAGAAACCTGCAGGTTGTTCAGCGTTTATATTGCTTATCTAAAGATATAGTTTAAAATGATCTCTTCTGTTTGCTCACTCGAGAGATTTAAAATCAAGAATCCAGCAGCTGGAGGAGTCAACCTGTTTTTATGACCCGACATGTTCCTGACCACAAATGCCTGAATCTCAGTGTAACCAGGAAGTAAAAATGACTTGCATGATGCCACATTTAGCAGGGGTGGAACTCAGCCCTCTGGTTCTCCTGCTGAGCCGCAGCTGCTAATTGAGAGAATCTTATATTATCCTCGGGGTGCTCCGTGGTATCTTTAGCTAAATGCCCTAAAACAAACATCAGTATATCGACACAGGACATATTTAAGGAAAAGCCAACAGAATGTGTCTAAAACAGTTGGACAACAGTCTCAATGTTTAATGGCATTGATTCCCCTTGTTTATGTTGAACGCTATTCTTCCAGGACATTCAGTATCTGGAGGAGAACAGCATCCTCAGGCTTTTCCTTCCCTCAAAATGTCAGACAAACATAACAGCTCTAAGATGAGATGTTTCGATACCAGCATCAGAAATGCCAAGTTTTGTGCGAGTGTGTAAAAATCTATGTACCGATCTTATACCACGTCTTTAGAGTTTATTAGTTTCACCCTGACAAAACGGATTTTACTCAGAGCAGAGAAGAAAAGAAAAAGGGAATCCTGGTGATGCAGCATTAGAAATATCAAAAACTTCCCTCTGGAAAGTCCCAGAAGTAAAATGTCGATTGTACCTTATGCAAGACTTCAAAACTTGAAACAGGGCATACAACAATGACAGCAATCCACACTTCCATACAGAGTTAGTATAAAGCTGTTAAAATATGATATTATATATTATGATATTTTTAAATGCACTGGTATCGGATCAGTGCACTGTATGTTTTGGTATTAGAGTGGGACGTGCATCACTTACGTTGATGAGTCCCAGTATTCGTAGTTCCAGGTTAGAGGACTGTGGGTCAAACCCCTCAAACACTGAAGGGATTCTTTCACAGTTTTCTGATGTTAGATGTAGATTCTGAGAATGTATCACGGTTCTCTTGCTGTGGGCTCGTTTCACAGCCACCTATTTACACTGCACCGAGCGTGGACCTCGGAGATGCGAGCGTTTCAGGAAACCAGCCGCAGTTTTTTTTTCCAACATAATCAGATGAAAGGTCGGACTTTAAAAAATCCATGACCTGATGTGTGTTTGATTTCAGTGTGGTATCTGCTGTTGTCAGGTAACTGGACCAATTATCCGACTGCTCAAAGACTCTTTCCAACTGTGCCTCACATTTCTATAAACTGTGACCCGCTGTGCTTTGTTGGTTGCTATGACAACCCCATGTGGAGGCACGTAGCCTAGCGGGCGACGTTTCTTCTGTCTTATGTTTTTGTGCTTCTGGGTGAAGAGTTTTCTATAATATATATTTTCTGTCACGTGTTGGGAACCGTTGTGAGTTTACGGAGATGATTTAGTATCACAACTGAATCAAAGCCGTCTTCGCAGTTAAGAGGAACTGAGCCCATGAAGTTATTAAATGAGACGTATGATACTTTTTTCAGTGTTTCTTTCCTCGAGTGTGTTTTCTGAGAAGGTAAAAGTTCTGCAAAGTTAAAAGTCAAGTCTGTGGTTATGGGAGCTCCTCTCCTGCAGAGGAAACACTGAAGCTCATATTAGAAACACTCATGAGTATCAGTCCTGCCTCATTCAGATTTATGAATTATTATCTGAGAAAAAGGTGAAAACTGAAATAAATGTCCTCACAATGTTTAGGAAAGTAAAAAAAATGATTCTGGGTCGTCCCCCTCCGCACCCATACTACACCCTTCCACCATGTTTTGTGGAAATCCATTTAGTTGTTTCTGTTGTCTTGCTAACAAACAAAAAAAACAAACAACAAACAAGCGGACAGGGGTGAAAATGTAATCGCCTTGTACGAATATGAACAGACCACCTCCTCGAGTTAGACGATTAACCAAACACAACCATTAGGGCTTCTCCAGTGAGGCTTTCTACAGAGTGTGGAAAGTGTCCTTCTTTCTTTCAGCGAATCCTTTGTGTTGTGTAACACAGCATCTGCTCAAACAAGCTTCTTCAGAAACCCACAACATGAGGATGTGTAAGAGGAGTACCTATTTAAATGTGCTCACACTTCTTGCAAAGTTTAGAAACATGATTTTTCACTTAAAACTTCAGCCTGACACAGAGAAAAACAAAGTTGAGTGGTTTGACTCAGTAGAAGCACTTGGTCTATCTACATGATTCTGGTCGACTTTTAAGGTTTTATAACATCCATCTTGCACATTTTAAATAAATGACATTTTTGGGGAGATTCTCAAACACAGCATCTGTCACAACATCTTGGCCTTAGTTTCTGTGCAACTGAAGCTGCTTTCAGACATGAACTCAAGTTCTAAGAGGGCTGTTTGTGAAAACTTAATGTCCGAGGCAGTGACTCCGCAAATTATCTGAAACTTTTCACATCACCTGGTAAATGTCCATAAAATGTCAGAGTGGGTCCATGTGAGCTGAGTGATGCACCAACATCTACAAGATATGTTCAATTTAGTTTTTAATCAAATTAGCTCAGTCATTGCCGCACCCACGCACCTTTTCCTAAGTTTTCCACAACAGATAAAACAGAGGACTCCTTTCCAGATGAGTGCCTGGAAAAGAAAGAGGAGTGCTTGGAGTGATTTACTGGAAGCAACTGTATCACTGAAAGGTTTGGAGAATCTGGCCGTTTACCCAGAACCACTCTGATCAGCTGAGACTAAACAAACAAACAAAACAAAATAAAAAAGGAGTTCTGTCATTAATGTCTGTCGCCTCCAGACGGGCCCATTATTTTGTTCCCTCTGCTCCGACCAGTCTGATCATTAATCCCCTCGGTGGTCACAACGCAGCAGGAAGTGGACATGTTTGTGTTTACTTTGAATTAAAAAGTAGAAATGTTGTTGGTTTGTATCTTGGTGGAGCTTTCTAGAACTTTCAAGGCTTAGAGATCCAGTGAGTCAGATTTAGTTGAAAGGAATCTATTGGCAGAAACTGAACAGAAAATAAAACTATTGGAGTTTTCACAAGTGTTTAATCATCTAAAATGTTCTTTTCTTTCCCCCGACAACGAGCCCTTTATATTTACATCAGGAGCGGGTCCTCTCTACAGAGGCAGCCAAGTTTTTTTCTTACAAAAGCCAAGACTCGACAAACGAAACCTTTTGAGTTTCTATGACAACTGAAGCTACCAGAGGTTCAAGTGGGAGGGTGAGGTGAGGGGTCTTCAGCTGCAACATGACACGTCAACACTAGATGTCACTAAATTCTACACACTGATCCTTTAAAGCTGTGATAACTTAATCCTGCTGACCACCTGAGGACAGCAGAAACAAGTTGAGTACACAACATTGGCATATCACCGACTATTAAGTCAATATCATAGATTATGTATAAAAATGGACGCAGACTCAAGATCCGGAGAGTGAAGCCGATGTGGGAGTGCCTGAAACCTGTTTTCTCTGGAATGACTACCAGAGCGAGACTAAAATGAGTCCGCTTCTACAAAAGTCAACAAGAGAATGACTCTACTTCTCAAAAGTAAAAATTTGAAAGCAGAATTACTGCCCTCAATCACTTCAACCTTGAGTCCTTCTGAACATTTGCACCAAATTTGAAGAAACTCCCTCGAGTTCTTGAGATAATGTTCACATGAATGGGACAGACGGACGGACAGACAGACAGACAACTCTAACTAACTGAACATAATCCCTCTGCTGCAGGCTGTTGCTGGTAGGAGGTATACAGTTGTTGGGTTTTAACAACAGTCGACAACAAATCAGGTGGTTGACATTTTTCAAATAAATTTGTGATCATGGTTTTCATTATCGGCCTCATTGGGATTGAATTCTCTAACCACAGTGGTGTTGATGCTTTATTCTGCCCACACACTCACAAGTGCTGCTGCCTCTAAACCGAGCTAAAAACCACACGTTTGGATTCAAGGTGAAGGCCAAACCAAAGAGGAGTCCAAAGAGAGCTGCCATCTGCTCCTGAGACTTCCCAAAACAAAATTAAACTTTAATAAAGTGCAGCGAGCTGAGCAGATACACAGATATTAAATCATTTTAACTAGAACTCCTACGAAGAGGCTTTTAGGAAATGCACTTCAGCGTTTACTCTAAGTGTGAGCATAGCTCACTGTGCTGTTTGTTGTTGACGTTACTATAGAGGAGAATGTAACGTTAAAGACGGAGTAATGGCTGCATTCACTGAGCATTTAAGCATCAGAGAACATTGCAGAGGAGAGCCATGATTTAAATAATTTATTTAAGTCAACATAATGGTTCCATCTGTGTGCATTTCAAACAACAAATGGAAAGTTGAACCACCTCACTTCAGAATGTCGGCCGCTGTTGAAACAACACAGTTTTTTTTTTTACACCTTAAAATAGCACCTTCAGAGACATTTTAATGAAAATCAAACAATCTCATAAAATGGAGAATGGCGCGTCAGTGCCCCCTGGGGGCCAGGAATTTCTCAATGTAAAGCTGGTGAGCTGGAACATTACGACACGCTTTACATCACATACCAACAATCAGATCTGCAGCTTACAGCGAGCTTCAAGAGCCATCTCACTGTTCTCAGTTTGGATGTCATGACAAAGCCACTGAGGAAACCAAAGAGGACGTCGTCAGAGGAACAGAAGAGCAAGTTCAACTTGTTGGCGGGAGTTTTAAGAGGCTGCAGGACAAATGTTGACGTGGCGTTGTTGTTATCGGACAGTCAGAAATGTAGTTTGTTTCCTTTATCTTGTTCTGTTCTGCTAGACGTTGGGCTGTATGTGATGTTGTCAACGCACTAGTTGCTCAGACATCAAATCAACATCAGATCAGACGTCAAATTTAAATTGACAAATGTCATGACTGCATCCTTCTTTGTCTTGTGGTGGTTTTGAGTGTCTGTGCTTTGGATCCTGTCTTATTTTTGGAGAAAGGATTGAAATTAAGTTCTCAAAATATCTCAGGAGCTCAGCTGCAATAAATGTCTGAACTGAGACAATGCTCTCGTTCTCTTGTGAACAGACTTCAAATAATAACTTTGCTTTTCGGCAACGGCAAGAGAGAGCCTGCGACTGGGTGTGTGAAGAAGCAGCTGCTGTCAAACAGACCTTGACATGGACACAGAAAAGACTTGACCAGAGACACATGAAAAATTCAAAAGAAGCAATTCAAAAAGATCCTAATATTCTTATTTATGTGTGCTCTGAGTTCTGAACTGCATTTCAAGGGCAGTCCAGGTGAAGAGCTGCTGCTGACCATGAATCACAGCTGAGGAAAATAATGAAACACTGAGGAAATGCATTCATTTTTAAAGTCAGGTGAAAGTAAACAGCTCCTCAGAATCATGACGTCACACGGAGGAAAGAGGCGAGAGCACGACTCTCGAGAAGAGCGGGCCTGAGCGTGACTGAGGGTTAGTGGCTAATCAGTGTAAATGAAAAGGCTTTTTATAATTCTGAAAAATTCAGACAGGATCAATTTCTGATCCAATACTTTATCTTGATTCTTCAGCTTTAGACAATCAAGTCAATTAGTTTGAAACACACACACACACAACTTTGTACAAAAACACAACAGAGATATACACACTCTCGCAAACACACAACTGGAGGATACAAGGATACTAATGCAGTTATAAATTCAAAATGTTCCAACGTTAATGCAGTTTAAACTGCTAGCAGTGGAGATCTATGCTAACCTAATAGCAGGACATCAGACAGGAGACAGAGTGTGTGTGTGTGTGTGTGTGTGTGTGTGTGTGTGTGGTCGTGTGTGTGTGTGCGTGTGTGCGTGCGTGTTATTGCCCTTTCAGACCTGCTCCCCTCAATGTGCTGGTTTTAGGTCAGAATAAGGATCCTGCTCACATAATCTCACGCAAATGCAAAGCTAGAGGGAAGGACATGGGAAATAAAATCCACAACCAGATGGACGTACACCATGTTCTGTATTGTATCTGTATTTGAATCCATGTGATGATGTGATGTCAGATCGCTGCAATAAATGTCGTATCTCATTCAATAACAAAATCAGTTAAATAAACGAGGAAAGATCACGAAAGAGCCGACGTTCGGATGGCGAGGAGATCGATCTCATGTCAGATTAATCAGATTAAACCTGTGGTGCCATGAAATCACAAGAAGTTAAAAACACTTATTACATTAATAATCTGATCAAAAGTGTCTTCATGTGTTTCCATGTTCTCAACTGAAATGGATTTGATGACTGATGTCAATATTGATTAATCAGCTGATGGAAATATAAACAATACATTTGACACATGGCAATGAAATATAACTGCTGCTGTATCTTTGATATTTGTGGTGTCTACTTCTGTCTGATGATACCCTGCAGACGCTTCGCTGTCCTGTGGTTCAATCTCAATTCCTTCTGACAACTTCAGCAGCGCTGTGCATGCTGGGAAATTACCCCAGCGACCATCAGAATGCAGCTAATCCCAGTCGGTTGCTGTAAACGCTGCCACACTTCTTTGGCTTGAGCAAACATCTCATGAGATGTGGTGTAGGAGTTGTGATGTTATGATGTAATCTTGTTTTGATGAGAAGTCAGAGAGCGAACCAGCGACTGTTTTTGATCAGGAAGCTGACACGTGCTTTAAATAGCAAACAGGAGGATTGTAGAAAGCATCTTCTCGTTTAACATAACAGTCCAGTGCAGTAATGTGAGAGTACACAGCAGAAACAAGCTCTGCAGACGTGTTAACGCTATAGGCAAGACACAAAAACTACTTAACAGTATATCTGACAGAGCTGTGCACAGGAAGGATGAACGCGTAAACTGTAGATACATCACACCCACCACACTCGGAGTCTGAGCTGCCCAGAGTTCAACAAGAACATATACAAGAAATCCATTTCACACAGACAGAGAACGACTGCGTCAGGAAACACTGGTGATTTTATAAGATTAACTCTGTTGTGTTCATATAAATATATTTTCACTATTGTCAGTTGTATGTGTTGCGTTATGTGGAGTGTATGGATTTTTTATTGTATTGTGGGAGAAGCTAAAAACAAACTTTCACTGAGGTAGATGACGAAGTCAAACACATAAAAAAAAGTTATGTTGCCTAGAAAAGGGTCGTACGGTACAGAGGTCACACACAGACGCACACAAACTCAGTTTGCTGCAGCTGCTCACTGAGGTTAATTCTTAGCGGATAAAAACAAACACACAACACAACCACTGACTGCCAGCACTGATGAACAGAGTCCAACTCTTATCGAGACTCCTTCCAAAACCTCCAATACATCCAACGCTTACTACTCCCACACTGCAATAATAAAAAAAAACACTCCCAACAGACTCCTGCAGCATCGCATCTCTCCTTAAATGACACCACAGCATAACTTAATGCATCCACTGCATGAAGGGGGACCTGCTGGTTTATCATCTAACCAGGCCAAGTAGAATTTTTTCAAGACAACAATGAATGAAATGTAATACTCACATGTCAAGTAAAGTACATTTTGTGATTATTGACAATACAAAAACTCACCACTCTCCCTAAACGTAAAAGAGAAAACTCGTAGTCATGGTCAGAGGAGTAAGACCCTGAACACTACAGGTTCAGAGGGAAGTCAGGGAACCTCAGTCTGTCTGACGGTAACACTCTGCCCTCTACTGGATGACGACAACACACAGCAGCACTTTATGATGTTTGAATCTTTGTCTCAGTACAGAACACAGAGCTGTTCAACATGTTGGACGACACGTTTCTACTTCCACCAATCGCGAGTCTGCCTTCCCTGACGTCTCAGCCGAATGAAATAAAACCAAACAATAAGTAACAACACTTGAACAAACATCAGTGTGACGAGAACAACCTAAAATGACAGAAACCATCTTTGACAAATGCTTATTTAGAGTCAACTTTTTTTAGTTTGTTCCATGTCTCATCTGCTAACATGGAGGAGGCACCCACAATTTCTACGCAAATCAACTTTGGATTTTATTAATGAACTTACTCTTCATTGTACCAGCATCTATGTCATCCTCATCATCAGAGTTGATGACCATGGTTCCCAGCTGTGACTGCATGGTCCCGTCGTCGTGTTCGATCATGGTCCGTGCCGTACCGCCGAGGGAACCCACCAATGAGCCAGCGGCCCGGATGGTATCGGAGTCGCCTGACCCAGTCCGCACCATCGTCCCCTGGTCGACCTCGTCCTCCTCCTGAAACACAGGCAGAAAGCCAAGTCTTATTTCAAGAAGATTGATTGTTTATATCTGGGAAAGTAAAAAATGACAGGAGACAGAACAGAACAACCTCTCCTGCCTTCTTTATAATTTCAGGATTCTTCGTGTCTTTACCGAATTGTCGTCATCTTCTGCGTCCTGTTCCCTCTGCTCTGCCTCCTCCTGTAACTTCAGTTTGATCTCCATGGCGTCTGTGATCAGGTCTCTGAGGATGCTGCTGGGCTTGGCCGACTTGATAAATTCATGCTGAAGGAGTGAGAGACACGATGAAGACGAGGTATCCTACAAGTTTTCCATTTTACTTAACAGCAAACAGAAACACGCTCATATGAGCAACTCGATTTTTATGGCTCCTACATGAGCTGTTTTCAGACATCAACTCTGGAAAGTGTTTGGATTTTCTGGAGTTTGTGTTTCACACGTGAAGGACACAGCATGAAATTGCTAGGGTGGACTCGAACATGACTGCACCATTACCTGTAACAGCTGTGTGGCAGTCGCCCTTTTTTCTGGGTTTTTCACCAAACACTGGCTCACAAAGTCTTCAAATGATTTCGACCACAGATCTGGGTTCCGAAACGTTGGAGGAGGGTTGGTTGGAATCATGAAGATGGCCTGGAGGAGGAAAAATAATTCAGTACACACAAATTTAATTCATTTAACTCTTTTTCATCGTTAATACAGAGATTTACTCCCCTCTTCAACCTCTCAACATTTTCTGAGAACTTTTGCTTTTCTTTCTTTTTAACCTTTAAATACAAACACACAGACAATACACACACTCCCTCACCCTCATCGGGTGTATGTCAGCATAGGGCGGCTTCCCCTCAGCCATCTCTATAGCTGTGATCCCCAGAGACCAAATGTCAGCCACGCAGTTGTAGCCGATCTCCTGTATAACTTCTGGAGCCATCCAGAACGGCGTGCCAATCACCGTGTTTCTCTTCGCCATGGTGTCCTGAGGAAGAGAGCAGGAGACACGTGACGGTTCAATATGCGCAGATTAATTAATTCTGGTTGACCAGACACAACGCCGCACTACCTCCAGAAGCTATTGAGCTTTAGTGGTGCGATCCTACTTTTGGAGTATCACTCAAAACTGAACACTGAGATAATTGTCAATTCATTCTCTGTTGAATTGCTGATGTCTGTCTTTAAGTACAACAGAGCACTTTTATTTTCCCGTTTAAACTTCCAATTAACAAAGTCGACAAACAAAAATAGTAATTCATATTCAGGTCATAGTTTTTTCATACATTTCATATATACACATCCTCGTACCCATCAGGTCCTGTCTGTAGTGGGAGCTGTATTTTATGGACATGTCTCTTTATTGAATTCTTATTTTCTTACTGTGAGTTGTCCAGCAACTCCGAAGTCGGCCAGTTTGGCCTGACCCTCCGTGTTCAGCAGGATGTTTCCTGCTTTAATGTCTCTGTGGATCTTCCTCATGAAGTGAAGATACTCCAAACCCTTCAGAGTCGCGTACAGGATGGCGGCTATCTCTTCTTCTGTTATCTACACGCACAGAAATGAAAAGAGATCAGCCAAAACAATCTTTGCCTCTTTTTGTTGCTACAATTCAGTGCAGTAACAATTACACACACTTTATGTAAACTCTGTGTGTGTGTGTGTGTGTGTGTGTGTGTGTGTGTCTTGAGAGTATTACATTACCGTCTTGTTGCGTATTCTAATGATATCAGAAACTGATCCGGCTCCGCAATATTCCATGACGATCCACAGGTCACTGTTCTTGAAGTAGCTGCCATAGTAACGCACTACATATGGACTGAAC